ACATTCTGACTAAAGTTCATACTCATTTCAAATGAGAAGATGGTGTTGCAGCTGAATTCACATAATAGCATATTGAATTCCATAAAACAATCTATTAGAATTTTGCCTTCGTAAAACCTAAACGTTACAAAGAAACAAGTCTGAATAATATATAAAAATAGATTGAAATGTGCTTTGGACTTTTTAAGACTTGTCCTTCTGTCGTCTTCCTTTTGTTCAGAGTTGGTGGGTGAGAGTGTCCTCTCCATCCAGTCCTCTGAGAAAGTGACCAGCATCAGTCTCCCTGCGACCCCTCCATACCACACTCTGGAGTTCCAGCTGGAGGTTCTGTGTATCATCCCATCCGGGTCAGAACGGCCCACCAACGAGAGGCTGACCAACGGGGAGGTCCGTCATCGTCCACGCAGCTACAGTCATCCTGACACGCCCATGGCTGCTATTGACCAGAGGGTGAGGTTCACACATGTGACTGCAGAGCTGGAGACATTTTGCAGATTAAACAGAAGTTGAATTACACTGACATTTGAGTGTCTTGTATCCACAGATGTCCATCGACTGTCCCTGGTCAATCTACTCAACACTGTTAGCTCTCACCTTCTACATCCCCTTCAAAACTAAACATTCACTTCTTTCTGCTGGTAATAGGTAAACAATGGTCACTGTCTGGTTACAGACTTACTGTCTGTAACTTTTTGCTTTTAGCTATTTTAGCTATTATAAGGCTAACTCTTGGTTATGTCTAGGTTACCTTTTAGTATCTTCTGACTAATATATGAATGTGTTTTTAAGACAACTTTGTTATGTTTTAGCTGATTCGTAGCCCTCTTGCAACATTTTGTCATTAAATTTGTAAATTATTTATCATGTGATTTCAGTGTCAACAACAAGGGCATTGATTTTAATGCATCTTCTACCTCATCCAACAGAAAGTACATCCAGGTGTGTGTCCACAATGTGTCTGATGTTAACTTCACACTGGCAGATATGAAGCTGACAGAGAAACAACACGTGTCACTGGAGCTTCAGTCTCTCAACACTAAAACACAACAGGTGAGGGAAAAAAACAACACTATTTATTTATTTATTAAGTTCAAAGTGGCAGAAGTGACCTGGTTTTTAGAAACAGGAATAAAACATTTCCACATTTCATTAGCTGGGCTGAGCGGTAGCGGAAGCACCAGGAGCTCAGATTTTCCACAGGGCAGTCAGCGGTCAAGTGAGGTGACTCAGAGTTTAACTATACTGTACATGTGTTTAGCAGATGAGCCTAACATTCCATACGATGGCAGGATTTATAGTGGAGTCTATGGAATTACTCAGTTCTCTGGTTACAGGACAACTTTTCATCCACAGTAGTGGGATTGATATAGGGCTGTCAACAGCAACTCTTCCATGAAACAGCATTAGGTAATGAGTCACGCTGATGTCTGATGTCTTTTTTTCCTCCCTCTTCTGTGTTTAGCTCTTGAGCAGTAAGCACATTGTGTTCTGCCTGTGGGAGGTGAGGTGGAAGGATGACCTGCCGTCCTGCCTCCAGTGTGTTTTCTCTGCCAACTTCTCTCCACTCAACCAAGACGTCTCTTCCTACAAACCCTTCCACTACCACTTTCAGCTGGAGAGAGTCACTGTAAGTCACTGTTCCAGATTTAGAGAGTGTTTCATAGAACATGTGAAACCAAATGTCTTCTTTTTTTTTATTCTGCCACTGATGTCCTAACCACTGTGTGATCTTGCCAATGTTAGACATTGTACAGTGTGAAAGCTGAGATACTGCCCCCTGCTGGCGAGCAACACTGTCGCTCGGGTTTACTCTGTGGTCTGGAGGTGTGTATAACTCGACTGACTGAACCTGCAGAGGGAGAGCTGGCAGAGGAGAGTAAGACTGACACCGATGGTCCCAAAACCACCAAACTCATGTATGAAGGTATGTGTGAAGAAAGTACATAAACTCATGTACTGTTTGTACACAGAACTACACACCCATTTGCATTCTTTCTTTTTTTTTTTTACTTGTTTTGCCTTCATTATAAATTTACTATATGTCATTTTCTACACTTGCATGTTTAGATACCACAAAGTAAAGCTCAGGATTTGTTTTGTCAGCTAAAATCCCTGCTAATACTCATTACTCTTCACAGCCGTGTCTGTGTCTGTTTATTTATCAGCAGGATTATGCAAAAACAAACTAATTTGCACCAGCCTTGGTGGAAAGTAGGAGAGCAGGAAGAGAGAGCATTAACTTTCTGAGTGGCACCTGACCAGCAGATGAGCCCAATAAAAAAATATCCTAACATCGCTGAGCTTGAGAGACGTTTGTGATGTTTCGTCTTCTTTGTGTTATTTCACAGTGGCCGACAGCAGCAGTAACTGGGCCGTGTGCGGGAAGAGTTCAGGGATGGTGTTGATGCCAATGACGGCCAACGCCACACACAAGGTGCAGATCGAGGTGATGCCTCTCTTTGCGGGTCATCTGCCCTTCCCCAAAATCAAAGTATTGAAGTACCTGCCACACAATGCAGCAG